CCGTCTCCCTGGAGACCAGCAGTTACTCCTCCTCCACCTATCATTTTGGAAGGGGATGAACATTTTGAGATCGCTGATATCCTTGATTGTAAAGTGAAACGTGGTAAACTCTGGTACCTTATCGAATGGGTTGATTTCGGTCCCCAGCACCGCGAATGGGTGGAAGAAGGGGATATTCGGGCCCCTTACCTGATCCGTAGTTTCCACAAGAGGTTCCCGGACAAACCGGGAGGCCTCCCGCCCAGCCCGGGAGATCTCCCGCCCGACCCGGGAGGTGTGTTGTAAGTGTATTTTAAGGGGGGCAGTATGTCAGCAAGCTGCCATTCTGTTTTCTGTGACCTCTGTGTACATATCCTTTCCCTGTTACACCCGGCTTGGCTTCTATCATCCTGCTCCTGCTTTGGAATGCAAAAGATAACTGCTGGAGGTTGTGTGGGGGAGAAGATGCTGTAATGCTTGCCTATTGATTTTCCCAGGACTACTGCACCTGTGTTTTGTCTGATGTTCTGCCTGGTTCCCATGGACTGGGCGCGCAACCGTTTCATTAGCCCGCCAGCGGGAATGCTATTCATTGGATCTGTATCTGTTTGAATTTCCTTTATTATGCTTGACCTAACTGTGTATCCCCAGTTCTAACAAAGAACGTGTTTGAGTATGTCTTCAACGCTTTGAAATAAATTTTGCTTTTCTTGAAAACGTGGATTTATTCTCGATGCTTGGGGATCCAACAATATTGCACAATTGCATATTTCTTTCCCCTCACCATTTGTTTTACTGAAAAACAGCCTCCACAGCTGCCACTGAAAGCCTAAGAGCTCTCTCTGTGGGCCTGTCTGTACTTTACGTTTTCCTCATGGAGCCTTGCCATGACACATGCACTGGAGGTTACATACTGGGAACTTGAGTCCCAGGCACACACTGACCCAGTTCAGATTGGGAAAGGGAGCTTAAGTCTCTCCCCCCCCCCCTCATTTTCCCAACCTGACAGAAAACGGGGCTGCCCCTTTCAGGAAACTTATACGCAGCCCATCTTTACATGTGGTTTCCCCAGTGGGGCAACTAGTATCCCCCAGGGCTATTTTAGGTTAGGAAACAGCACAGGGAAAAGACTCAAGCTCCCTTGCCACATATGCCATGGTAGGGTTGCCAACCTTCAGGTGGCACCTGGAGATCTCCTGCTATTACCACTGATCTCCAGGTGATCAAGATCAGTCCCCCTGGAGAAAATGGCTGCTTTGGAAGGTGGACTCTGTGGCATTACACCTTGCTGAGGTCCCTCCCCTCCCCAACCCCCAGCCTTCCCAGGCTCCACACCCAAAATCTCCAGTTATTTCCCAACCCAGAGCTGGCAACCCTATGCCATGGTCCTGGTCAAAATTGTCCCAGCATTTCTCATTTTTATATCTATTATTTTTGGACTATAAACAGGCATATGCCAAGTAGGGCTACCAAGTCCCCCCGGTGGGCAGATAACCCCCCGCTTTGGAGGCCCGGTTTCCGCCGTCGCGGAATCGGGCCCCGGGGGGAACCACACCCCGGCATGCACGTCAGACGGAGCGGACGTGATGACGCTGGGTGGGGCCACAGCCATCTGAGGGGAAAACTCTATGTTTCCCCCTCAGATGGCTGTGGCCATGCCCCCAGCGTGCCCGGCATCATCACGTCACCTCCAACTGGCGTGCATGCGGCACGCGCTCAAGACGCCGTCCGGGAGCCCCCCGCCACGGAGCGAAACGGACTTGGGAACCCTAATGCCAAGGAAAACTCCTGAAGAAACAAAGGTAATTCACAGACATGAATTCCTTGTCTAAAGGGAGGAGAAGGGGGTTCAAAGTCATCTGTAAATTTTCATGTTATAATCACAATAAATGGTATTTATCTAAATTATGTCTCCATTTTCCATATACACAACTTACATTGAATTTTGAGGTTTTTCTCCCACAGTCTCTAGCTGATTCCATGTAGAGAGCTGCTTACTAACACTGTGGGGGATTGTCCAAACACACACATGCACATTTCCCACCCAAATGGCTTTCTCTAATGGCTGCCATTTGCAGGGAATATCTGATCACAGATCTCCCAGAATTTTGTCTAGTCAGACTTTTGCCTGTATTTGTTTTAGAATCATATTGCTTCAGCCAGGTCACTGTGGATGTTACGTTCAGGGTATAATCAAATATCACACACCCTACCTTCCTTGCAATCAAACAGGCACACGTAAACAAGCTTCAGGCTTCCCGAGTATAAAACTTCAGTTTCCTCCCTTGTTGTCGCCCACATATCACCTCTTTCTGTACACGAAATCTGCCCTTGATCTGATTCCATTTTGGCCCCTCCCTCCTCAAGCATGCCAGGGCCCTTAAAGTGGAAGAACTACATCCTGGTTGGAGATTCCAGTCATCCAAGTGTCCCCACATTAACCAGTTTCTATAGTTATGGCAGTTTCTATAGTTATGGAGGAATGTGATCAGTCTGTTGCTCTTTGCTGAGGTGAGCACCGCAACTGACTTGCTTTTGGGCGAACAAATTAAAAGTGAGCTTGTATTTAGACAACAGTGAATTTATCTTGGTCAAAACAGATTTGAGTGATTTTCCTGTCAAGTTCCAACAATTAATTTGTAAAATTGGATGCCTTCAAACATCCTAAAGCTTGCATGTTTTCACGCCGAGTTCTTGCCCTTATCCTAATCCTGGACGCATTTCTAGGACTATTTCTGACTCAAAGCAGGAGAATAAGTTTCTCAAGCTGTCTGCTTTTTCCATTTGCAATTATCTTGTATTGCCTATGTTCACCTTTTCCCTTCACTCTCTCTTCCTCCTGTTTTGGTGGTTTCCCTTTTCTCTGTACAATGTATTTATTTAGAGTCAAATTACATGACACATGTGACACGACAGGTCATGTATATCTGACCTGACTTGCAGTCACAAGTACAATGGTAGGAACTCACCTTCAAAGCACTTTGTTGCACCATTTGGCTTGGGAGTGCTGCGAGAGAAGAGGAAGGACTTCAAGCTTCCCTTCTGTAACATTTTTGCCTGTGGAAACAGCCATGGGGGGCCTGTTTGTCCCCAGAACCAGTGAGACCTGGGTTCAAATCCCTGCTTAAATCATGAAGCTCACTGGATGACCTTGGACTAGTCCCACTTTCAGCCTGCTCTATTGCACATGATAGTTGTGAGGGTAAAATGGAGGAGCTCCTTGGAAGATAAAAAATGTGATATACTTGTTTATTTACATAGCTCTTATTGAAAGCATTTATATCCCACTTTGATCCCAGTATTGACACCTAAGACAGCTGACGAAGTGTGATTGTGCAAAACAAAAATACTGAAGACAAAATAAAGGGAAAATGAAAGAAATGGAACTATTAAGTGAGCATTATTCCTTCCATTTTGCTCAGTGGTATTTCCATGATGCTTTGAGGAAAGAGCCGTCATGCCAGCCCTCAGAGGGTCCTGCCACTGTCTCTCCTGGGGCTGCATCAAATTCAGTGGTTCAGCCCAAAGACCCCATGTAATTACCGAGCAAACTCAACAGTGGGTGGCAGACAGTCAAGGGCAGGGGGCTTCTCCTTCCTCACCTAGAATGTACATCTTAAACAGCCTCAGGTGCTCTTCTAGGAGAAAGAGACTAATTTGATTTTTAAAAATCCCCACCCTCTGATGGCTTTTCTCCTTCTGTTGCTGCTGTCTCTGGCTCCTGAACAAAGAAAACATCAGTCCTGTGAGGAATACATGTGCTTAACTCTGTTTTGTCTCCTCTGTGGTTGCACCTGATGGATTTCCACCCACAACACAGTGAACCTGCCAGAACTTCAGCAAAAATATTTTGAAATGGAAGTCCTAATCTGCTCCAGGCAGCAATTGCCTGTTGTTGTCACATGGTTGGACTTGGTTGCCAGGTTGCATGAGGAAAATATTTTAATTACATACTTTAGCAAAGAGTCAGTGTTTTGTTCAGGTGGCTGCCTACAGATGTGAATTGTTTCTGGGGTTAATTTGGAGTGATGGGTTAGTAGGAACTGGGACTGATTCTCATTATGAGTTCCACTGGGAAATTCTCTTGCTGATATGTCCATGGATTCAGAGAGTGACAGATATTTCATACATGAATCATCTTGCATTTTACTGACTGTTTTCCTTTTTGTAAACCACCATGAGAACTTTACTGGTACATGGCAATATATAAACATTTAGTCAGCTTAGCATAGTGGTTAGAATGTTGGATGTTCACGGTTTATGTGGGGGGCAGCTGCTCCATTTTCATACTTTAATAGATTGTAAACTTCGCAGAAAGATGAAAAAGTAGGTATCTAAACCCTAAGAAGCATTATGAATTTCACAAGTAATTTTAATTATGTTTTCATAAATCTTATATAATACTTTCCCCCACAAATATCCTGATGAAAGAACATCTATAAATTCTGGTAAAATGAAGTCTTCATGAAGCATATCCACAGAAATACGTTCATTCTGATTGTGCTTCTGAGGCAGAACTTTAACTCTTCTATCTTCTTCATACGTTGTGGTAAAAGGTTTATATTAATCCTTTAATGCACTTGTAAAATTGCTTCTGCCCTGATCTGTTGATCTGTTCTGGGCATGAAAGGTCCCACTGGTAATTTCCATAGACAGTGGGGTTTTCTGTCTGTGAAGAGCTAACATTCCTCCTCCCGTTGCCCTCTGCAACCCATAATACTCCCTGAAATGCTTCTCCTGGGAGAAAATGGAGGCCCAGGAACAACATGAGGTGGGGAGTCAGAGTTCTACATCAGGAGGGACAAATCAGTGAGAATTGGTGCCCCTTCCATTCACAGAAATCTTCCACTGGATTCAAGCCATTGTCTCTCCTGCCATATCTTCCCGCATGTCAACAGAGAATGATCTTCAAAATTGGCTCCTTTCATTAAAATTAATGGGGATCCTCACATGTTCATGAGCTGTGCTTGTGGACCTCTTGAACTCGAAAGTGTACAGATCACAGAAACTAAAATAAAAAGCTATGTACATTTATGTTGCCTCCACTTCTGTGTTGATAGGGTAAGCTGGGAATTCCATCTTGGCCAGCGGTACACTTGGTGCACTAAGACATTACTTTCCACAGTTGTCCCCACAATGAGATACACCATGGGACGGTGAGTATGGGTCATCTTCTGAGTACAGTCCTCATTGACCAGCAGCCACTGTTCAATCATACTGCAAGCATCATAAGGCAAGACCAAACTGGGGGTAATCAATTCAGCTCGGCAGTCAACATTATATTCTTGAATGCTGAAGGCAGTTTGTTTCCTAGAAAGTTTCACCTTCACTGCTGTGAGGGAGGGAAAAAACATATTTGTGTCATCTCTATACTAATCTTGCAAAATGCTGTGTATGTGTCAAGTCAAAAAACAATGGGCAATTCTGCATTAGCACAAACCATGGCTTGGATCCAGCAGTAATTTCCATTGACATAAAGTATTTCTGTTCCTGGAGAGGGATTTCAGTGTTTCCCCTTCCAACTATAGTCCCAATGGCCCTTGAAATACTGCTGCTGGGGACAGGGGACTCCCAGGAACAGCATGAGGGTGGTGGTGGAGAATTAATGAATACTGCTCCCCCTCCATCTGCAGACAACCTTTGCTGGATCCAAGCCCATAGTTTGTGTTAGATCCAAATCAGATCCAAATCAGCCTTTTCTCCAAAGCATGACTATAAACCAGCTTTAAACTGTGCTTTGCTATCTTGGTTTGGATGGGAAAAACTATAGGACCCTTTCAAAATTACTGTTCAAAACTGGATGTTATCCACTGTTGGCTTGATTTCGAGTAAAGCGATACAAGGACAGGAGTTTTATACAGCAAATATCATTCCATTAATGAGCCATCTCTGAAGCACTATGCTAATTTCAAACAATGCTGCTCCCCCCCCCCCCCGCCGTCCTTTTTCATGGCATGATCTTTCTTGAAGGAGGAATGGATGAAGCATGAATGAATGAATATCAGGACATTTGCTACAGACATCTTAGGTAAGCAATTTCTATAACACCAATCACTGATACCCTGAGTACCCACTGCCCAATGAAGTACGTACTTCTCTCCTCCTGTATCCATGTAACAACAGCCATAATCTCAATGTATCTCAACAGTGCCACTGTAACACTGAAATGCTATATTGGTCTAGCGCTATAGCGCTCAACTTAGAACATTAAAAAAAATGTGAGGAAGACCGCATGCCAAAAAAGGGCAGGGGGGAAAGCAGCACTGTTGGAAGTGCTGCAGACATTTTAAACAGCACACTACAGCGATTCAGAAGGGCAAAGAAGAGGTGAAAATGGAAGAAAGCAGTTTCTCTCAAGAATGGCTCAACCATACTTTGCTAACCCAACACAAGTGGCTTTGTATGAAAAGGTAAATAAAATTCATTAGCAGCCAGTTGCTAAAATGGTTGTGTCTGAAATGACACAAAAAATCCATTAGCAACCAGCAACTAAAACAGATTATAAAGGCTGTCTGAAAGGGGCCATAGTTTGCCAAGTACAGATTTAATAGCAGTCTAAGATTTGTGCTAAAGAAGAAACCAACTGAATTAAAACACAGGAGGGAGCAATTGCATACAAGGCTTATTTACATAGCTCCAAACTATGGTTTGGCATTATGTCTGAGCATGCTAATGCCATGTGCAACTAGCTGAGGGATGAAACACATATGGAGGTATTTCAGGTTGAACTCTTCTTATGCATCTGAGCAAGGAAAAGACTGTGGTTCATTTGCAGTATATATGAGAATATATGAGAATTTTTCAAATAATCTGACATTTATCTGCTACATCTGTCAAATTTACACAACTGGTCACATCCTCCTCCAACTTCAGTGGGATCCACTTTTCACCTTACCCTCCCTCAGCAAACCATTATATATGGCCATTTTAAATGCAGGTTTCAAAATGAAGGTCTATAAACTAACCCCATTCATGTTCCAAGACTACTTATCTAGTCTAGATATCTCTCCTTATATATAATTCAGTTTTTGAGTGGCAACGTTCCATGCACTCCCAAATCAGTTGGCTGCTTGATCTGCCACTCAGAAGTTCTGCCAATCCCCTGGCTGCATTGCCACACAGCGTTGCCTCAGTCCCACCCACAGAGCCAGCGGCCAGTGTCTCGGCCTCAGTCTGGAGGGAGCCAGTGAAGGGGATGGACGGTCCGGCGGGTGGAAGCTAAGGAGGCCTACTGGGAGATAGGGGGGAGCAAAGCAAAAGGGCAGAAAACTGGGACCACAGTGGAGCGACGAAAGCCCCCTCATACCCAGTTCTTCTTCTCTCAGCCCTCTCACCCCAGGGAGATCCAGCCCCGTCAGAAGTGCAGCCTTGAGCATAGGAAAAGCACTGCCAGTGCCTCAAAGAGCATAGAACAATGCAAACAACTCCTGGGAGAGTCCAGAGCCCCGGGCAGGCCCAGGGGAGGAGGAACCTCTGGCTCGAGGGGAGGCCACCCAGCATTCACTCCGGGGTCCCCCGCCACTTGCAGGCTAAGTGCGCCAGCCTGAGTCCTCCTCTGCTTGGAAGGCAAGCGCAGAACAGACGGGCGCTGCTGCTGGTGCCGGTGACAGCCAGGGAAGGGCCGGCGGGCAGGTGGAGGGCAACAGAGGTGCCCCACCAGGCCCATTGGGGAGAGGCTTACCTTGCGGGCTGGCAGCTTCATTGCTCCCCGCATGCCCCAGCTCCAAGACCAGACCGGAACCACCATGCTCTGCCCCTTGCCCGGGCCCGCCTCCCCCTGGCTGCTCCACTGCCCTCCAGTAGGAGTCACTCGAGGGCGCCAGCCCCTTCCACCAGGCGCCCAGCACCAGCTCCACTACTGCCCCCTGCTGTGTTGTGTGCCATCACCCTGCGAATCCGTGGGTCTCCCCCCCACATTCGAGGGCAAAAGAGCTGCTGGCTGCGGGCACCAAGTTCCTATCAGAAGGCAAGGCAGGTGCAGCCCCTTTCCCCAGTGGGAGAGAGTGCAAGCCAGGTCTAGAGGGAGTTCTTCTATGCACTTCCCACAGGCCGGCGCCATGGAGGAGAAGGCAGCCAAGAAGGAGGGCGAGGCCGAGATCCAGGAGCTCCATGGACCCCCGGCACTGGCTCAGCAAGTGGGGGCAGCACTCCCTGGCCGAGGCCAGTGGAAATGTGTGGCACAGAGAGAGGCCTGTAAGCTACTTTCTAGATCTCGTTGTATTGCTTCTACAGCAGTAGTATATATAAAAGGCTAGCCGTGTTCCCAGTGACTCACCTTCTACCTGACTGGGCCAGCCTTTCAGGGTCATTTTCATATGCAGGCTGATTGGGTCTTGCTATGTTCCACACATCCTTCCCCCCCCATAGCCAAACGGAACACAGACGTTTTTGCATATGCAGCCTGAATGGCCCTCACTCACAACATTCTAAACAGTTTGCTGTTGGTGTTGGGAGTCACTGAATGTGTCCTGAGGTAAAATACATCTCCCAATCCTCCCCAAAACATTAAGTGGGGTTGCCAATCTCCCTGTGGGGCCTGGAGATATCCTGGAAATTACTGTGTTTCCCAGCCACAGCATATCATTTCCTCTACAGAAAATTTCCCAGATATTCCACCCGATCTCCAGATGACCAAGATCAATTCTCCTGGAGACAATGGCTGCTTTGAGCAGTCAACTCTATGGCATTGTACCCTACTTAAGTCCCTTCACTCCCCAAACCCTGCCCTCCCCAGGCTCTACCCCTCAAATCTAGGGGTGTTTCCCAACCCTGTAACTGTCTATGGAACACCTTTCAAGTCTCTTGGAACCCAGAAGACATGGTATAGGTGGAGGTGCTTTTCTTTATGCTTTAGCTGCCACTGCATAGCCCAAATCAACTTAAGTGAGGGGTGGAGAGAACCATACCATGCGGCTGTCCTCCCATACTACCCACAGGGCAGCAAAATGACTTGAGACAGCCTTGCCTTATAGCTAAGCAGAAGGAAATAAACATGGCTTGCCTCCCTCTATTTTCCCCTTCCCTCCACCACCCCACCAGCCACAGCCGGGACACTCACCTGGAGCTTCTTTCTAGAGCTCGTTGTATTTCTTCCCAGTATGGGCCTTATTCTCAGTAGATATATAGAAACTTACCAAAGTTATTGGTGCAAAAAAGGTCCAACACATTCTTATGTGTGAGGAACTCCTCAAATGCAGGACAGATCTGACAGGTAGGCTTTGGGACAACTGGAAAGGAGAGAAGAACTATCTGTTTTGATGTAGGGTGTACATTGGATTCCAGAGAAAACAAAGCCATAATATGTGTTACTTTGGAATAACAACAAAGATAAACCCAAGGCAAAGGTCTTCACATGCAGCCATATGATTGAACTGGAGATAATATGGGGACCATAGTATATACCTATATCATGGCACTGTTTCAGTGATTACCATGGTAGCATATTAAGTTTCAAATGAATGGCCATTGCACTGGAAATAGGGTTGCCAGCCCCCAAGTCCTGGCGGGGTTTTCCCCACTTTTGCAGGCTCTAATCCACCCCCAGCCAGCTGGCCAGTTGGGGAAGCCCCACCCCCAAATGCGACCACCCATCCAACCACCCCTCCCTCCCCTCCTGCCAGATTGAAAGGGCTTTATCTGATCAGGAGGGACCACATGGCACACTGATCAGCTGGAGGACCCTTTAAATCTAACAGGATGGAGGGAGAGGGGCGGTCACAGGCCTCACGCTCAGTTCACAAAAAGACCGTTTAAAGGGTCTTTTTGCAAGCAGGGTGGGGGCTGCAGTGCGTGGATCTGATTTCCCCCAGCCCCACTCCTCAACCCTGCTCGCAAAAAGACCTTTTAAAGGGTCTTCTTGCGAGTTGAGCATGCAGCCCATGACAGCCCCTCTCCCTCCTGCTAGATTTAAAGGGCCCTCCAGCTGGTCGATGGGCCAGGTAGTCCCCACTGATGAGCTGAAGCCCTTTAAATCTGGCAGGAGGGGAGGGAGAGAGAGGTGGTCGGGCAGGTGGTTGCACTTGGTGGCATAGCTTGGTGACATCCTCGCCCACCCCAGAACATCCTTCAAATCCCCCTGCTGAAACGAGGTGGGAACCTGGCAACCCTAACTGGAAAAGAGATCTGAGGATTCAAATTGAGATGAGCTACAACAGGGGTGGCCAAACTGTGGCTTAGAAGCCTCATGCGGCTCTTCCACACATATTGTGCGGCTCCCAGCAGGGTGGCTGGGGAAGGTAAATATCATAAGCAAACAAATATCATTGGACAAATAAATATCATTATCAATAACTGCTTTTACCCCTTTTGTTATTATTTTTGGCAGTCTCATTTAATGTTAATAAAAAGCAAATTTGCATAATTTGCAATAAAAACATGTAATATATGTTCATGTCTTGCAGCTCCCAAACATCTGATGTTTATTCTATGTGGCTCTTACGTTAAGCAAGTTTGGCCACCCCTGAGCTACAATTTGGAGTGAGGAAATGGCAGGCAGGCAACTGTGCCACTTCTGTCTTTGTGCCGCTCCCTGAGTTTCATTCTCAGACTCCTGAAACTACTTTCTAAAGAAAATTAAAGTTATTCATGACCTCATATACATTTTGCTCATAACATGTGGTTAGCCCCTGAGAATCAAGCTACATGTTCAGGCAAATTCAGGTGGGTAGCCATGTTGGACAAAGTTTGAGTCCAGTGGCATCTTTCAGACCAACAATGTTTTATTCTGGATATAAGCTTTCATGTGTATGCATACTTCTTCAGATACTTTGAAACAGAAGCCACCAACTATTATATGTAGGTAGAGGATGAGGAGGATATTGCCAGGAAGGGCCAATTAAGAATCAAGATGCATAATTAACAGACCAGTAAATACAGCTAATGAAGGCAATTGGTAAGACCTGTGAATAGCAGCAAATTAGCATACAATGTAATAAAGGAGTTTACAAATAGATGTGAGAATAGAATGACCTTAGCACATGTAGTGAGATAAGAAACCATTGTCTCTGTTAAACCCTGGGGGTTCCATTATTCTGAGTGTTGTAATAACTTGTAACCAATGCTCCCTCTAAGCTATGGAGTCTTGTGAGCAAAAATTCTACTTTGTGAGCTACTGGCATTAAAGTTCTGAGTGAGGAATTGGCTACTGCATACATTAGTTTGCTCTGGAGCCATCCTTCCTGAGCTAAGACAAAAATGTGTGAGCCAGAGGCTAAATAACTGTGAGCTAGCTCACACTAACTCAGCTTAGAGGGAACACTGCTTGTAACTCAACAATCTCCCATTCTAGTCTATTTCTGAAATTCCTTTGCAATAAAACAGCTATAACCAGAGGTCATTTCGGGGGGGAACGCGGGGGAACACAGTTCCCCCAGGTGAGGTGCAGGGGGCAGGGCACATGACAAAGCTCCGCCCCCTGCTTCCGGCTGCCCCGCTTCCAGCCCTCATTCAGCCAGGAGGAGGCAGGAGAAGAGGGAGGGTAAGTTGCTTCCTCCCCGCCTTTCCCCACCCCTGCCTGCCTGGGGCCAGGGAGCGCCTTGGTGGGGCTTCCTCGCACTCCCACTGGCCTTGCAGGTCCACCGCCGGGCCCCTGCTGTCAGGGTGTGTGGCATATGCTAATGAGTTATGCTAATGAGTCCCCCTAGCTCTTTTTCTACGAAATGACCCCTGGCTATAACTCCTCACCCACAATAATACAACATCTAACATGAACATGGACACTGGCACCAGAGCTTGCAATAATCCCAGATGGCAATTTTGCTGCCACATACACCCAGACGACACATCACTGGACCTAACAACATCAACTCCACCATCTTAGGCTCATTCACTTGCTCATCTTCTAACATTATTTGTTGTTCAGTCTCAAGAGTCTTCTCCAGCACCATAGTTCAAAAGAATCTATTCTTCAGCGCTCGGCCTTCCTTATAGTCCAACCCTCGCAGCCATACATGACTACTGGGAATACCATTGCTTTGACCATGCGGATTTATATGCCATTAAATGCCAACAATGCCCTTCAGTTCTCTACGTAGGGCAAACAGATCAAACACTACCAAAAGATAAATGGACACAAATCTGACATCAAAAACCACAAAACTAAGAAACCTGTAGAAGAACACTTCAACCTTTGAAGATATTCAATGGGGGACTTCAAAGTAGCTGTTTTGTTGCAAAGGAACGTCAGAAACAGACTAGAATAGATTGCTGAGTTAGAAGTTACAAGGTATTACAACACTCAGGATAATGGAACCCCCCCAAGGCTTAACAGAGCTTAACAGAGACATTGGTTCTTATCTCACTACACATCCTAAAGTCATTCAGTTCTCACATCTGTTTGTAAACTCTTCTGTTATGCTGTATAGTAATTTGCTGCTATTCACAGGTCTTACCAAATGCTTTCATCCAGTCATAAGCTATATTCATAGGTCAGTTAATTATACATCTTGACTCTTAATGGGCCCTTCCTGGCAACATCCTCCTCACACAGTGCCTATCTGTTTCAATGTATGTGAAGAAGTGTGCATGCACAGGAAAGCATATACCCAGAATAAAACTTTGTTAGTCTTAAATGTTCAGGCAAGTCACATGATCACATCCTTTTTAGACTGAGCCATTTCACTCTACAGGGGACTAGATCATATGCCTTATATTTTAAAACCAGCCCTCTGCATGTAGAAAACTAGACAAAATGGAGATGTTAAATCTAAAATCAATCTTTTTAAATGTGATTATTTCCCATCTGTATGGGAAAATATTATGTGTTTTCAAATATAATATTTAATATAAACATAAAGCTATACAAAGCCAGTGATGAGCAACAGTTAAGAGTGTTGGACTAGGGCTGGGGAGAGCAGGGCTGAAATCCCATTCAGCCACAACATTCAGTGGGTAACCCTGGGCCAGAATTTCTCAGCCTCACTTCCCTGAAAGTCTTCTTTGTTCATTTGATTTACTTCACTTACAACCCGACTTTTCTCCCCAATGTGGACCAAGACTGGCTTTCAATGTTTTCCATTTTATCCTCTCAACAACCTTGTAAGGTTCATTAGGCTGACGGCGTGACTGGCTCAAGATCATCCAGCAGGCTTCCATAACAGAGTGCAGATTCAAAACCATGTTTCCCAGATCCTGGCCCAACCCTCTGTGGTTGTGGGGGGGGGGGGGGGGGAGAGAATCCTTTATGCCAACTTAGGCTCCTTGGTTAAATGTTAGGATGCCAGTGTTTAAATAAACAGTACCTTTGACAATGTGTTTCTGTTCTTTGCTCAGGGATCCAAGACATATGTCCTCATCTGCAGGGAATCGATCACACTCCAGACTGCTGGGCCAGTGACTTCCATGGCATCCCAGGACAGGAGCACACCTATCTCGAACTGCAACGCATATACTTTGGCAAGGCTGGATGAAACTGTTTGAAAAGCATGTTACACCTAGCCAAATTAGTCTGAAGCTTCATTCAAATATTTGGGCTTGCAAACTCTTGACTGGAAGCTCCCACTTCTAATTGTGATTATAAAGCAGCGCGGAATCATGTTATTCTGGGAAACAGTTTACCATACTAGCCCCATACTATGTCCATTCCAAACAGCAAAGCATTCTACACATGATACAGAGGAAGAAGCCTTAATGTGTCTCCCATCCCCACCCTTTGTGTTTTTATTTGCAGGTTGATGAAGAGCTCAGGAGAGCTCCAAAGCTTGCATACTGGGTTGTGTTTTTTCTACAAGGGGGTGGTCTTAAGAAAAAATATGAGGGTTTTAATTTTTGATTTTGCTACAGGTCAACACAGCTACTTGTTTTTTAACATTGTGTAAAACTGATATTTTAAAAAAACTGACATTTAATCTTGCAAGAATCAAGATAACCCTAAAAGCTGTTATTTTAATTTAATTTTTTCATTTTTACTTAAGGTATCCAGATGTCCGGTTTTTAGAGGACATGTCCTCTTTTTTTGGTGTCTGTCCTCTTTTGTGCTCTTTTTTTAAAAAGCTGATGGAAATGTCCTCTTTTTGGGTTGGAAGGTTAGGAATATTCCTAGTTAGTAGCAATTATCACAACTTAAATAGTAGGGATATTTAAAATCAGGTTTGTCATCATGATCACTTGTTTAAGTAGTCAGTCGGGAAATATCCCCTTCTTTGCATTTCAAAATATGGCAACCTGATTTTTACCATGTTTCAATTTCAAAAGCATTCATAAGCATTAGGGAGTTTTTGGAGAGACACCAACTTCATCTTTTGGTGCCTGCCTTTCTCCTACCCTTTCTACCTACTCTCTTATCAAAAGCTGTGCTCTTCCTCTTGCAATCAATCCTGTTCAATTTACTCACAGCTCTGCATCCTGATCCATCTATACACATGAGTCTCCCATTCAGGTCTGCCAAGGGGGTACAAAATTCTAAAAAGCTTGGGCCCCAGAGAGCTTAGCAGGATGCCACTGGAAAACAGAAGCGGCAAACCTGTTTTAATTAAGCATTTTGTGTGTGCATCTTACCGAAAGGGGGACAGAAGAAATCTTCGGAGGCACGGTGGTTCTTGGCAGCCCTGTCCCCATTCATTTTGGTGAACAGCCCAGTCTGCACATACAACCTTTTTTTGCTTTCAGATAAGATCTTTCTCCTTTATTACAAATGGAGAAACATTTGAGAGACTAAGGAACTGTGCATGCAAGGGAACCTACCTAGCTGGATACCGTCAGGACCATACAGCTACACTAAGTAAGCAGTTATGCCAGGAACTTCCAAAATGATGCTATGCTAAAACTGCAATCAGATATACCTCTGTAAATATTTGGTACTCAGATGGTAGTCTGTGATCATTAGGCAAACAACCATTTGCTTTTTGTACCGCACACAGGAAAACTGTTACCATCACCATCACTACTGGATGCATTTAAGCCTGTTTAAATACAACTCAAACAAAAAAATCCTCAATAACCTTGTCACCTGTTTCACTTTGTAAAGAAAAATATTGTTTTCATCTGATTAGCATTTCATAATGTACATATACAATAAGAAATCAATTCTGCATCCCCCTCAAAAAAAGTTGGCATCAATGAGATATGAATGGCATTTAAAGAACAATATTATGTGTATATATGTGTATGTGTATATATACACTCACACATATATATGTACATGTATGTGTCCAAGCAGTCATTTTACTATTAATAAATTAAATTTCTGTAAATCTGCACATCAAAACTTTAATTCAGGCAGATTATTGGGGATTCTTAAAGGAATTTTAGAGATAATTAACAATTTAACAAGCACCAATGTTCCCTCTAATCCCCCCCCCCCCCATTTTGTGGAGCGTATCACATGCTTAAAATGAGCAATGGGCAGTGCGAGACCCTGCACGGCTCCAGACTGCTGCTGAGTGGGGCCTCCTGTGTTAATGAGCAGCCAGTCATGCGCGGTTTAGAGGGAACACTGCGAGCAACTATCATGCAATGAAAGGGGAAAAAACTCTTTACTATTATGTGGTCACTTTTAAAACGACTGAAATTTCTTTTGGAATCAAACAAATCTGCTCCTTCACTTATCTATTAAAATTGTCCTTATCAAACTATCAATCAGATAAACTGGCATTTGAATGTCTGGTTTTTAAACACAGTTATTTTCTCTTCTTTAAAATACTCTACAAGCTTTTAGTTGAGGTACACCTAAGACCGTTTATCTACTGTGAGGAGGAGACATCTCAGCATTCAACTGCCTTCACTTTCCTCCCTATTATCCTTCCTACCTAAGGGCCCTTCAAATATGCTTAAGTGCCTATCAAATATGATATTAGACAAATGAATAACCCATCAAGTCAGGGCTGTTTACACACAGCTTTATACTTACGTGTCCAAACAGACGGGTGCAAAAAGAGAGCAGAGAAAAGCCCTTGCATAAGGATGACAGCCAGACCCCACAAGACGCTGCCATCCAGCAGATTTCGCAACAGCTTCTGCCAAACTGGTGTGTCCCATGAGATTGGGTAGCCTCATTTCTGAGTAACCAACATCATGGCAGATGCTCATTTCCTTAGGGATAGCAACACACTTTGTAGATAGCCCTAGGTCGAACCCCACTACCAGCCTCAGAGCAGAGATGAGCAAAAACGCTGCTGGGAGCATCTTTTGGTGTTCCTAAATACAGAGAGGAGGCAAAATCCCCTGACAGGGCTGCCAACCCTTGACAGTTCAGGCTTTATAGCCTCCCAGGGCTCTCTTCTTTATCAGCCACTTATCAAACACTCAAGGCAAGAGGTAGGCCTCTTGCTCATTTAAGTGATTGATGTGAAGATAACCAGCATGACAGATCCAAAAATATGGAATATTTTCCTTAATTGAAGTGTTGTTGTTTTTGACATATGATATCTGGAGTGTGTGTGGCTTCAGGATGGCACATTAGGTGAAACCGTGATTGGCATGCAAGACTTGACTGTCATTCAATACATGTGAAACTGAATTAAGGCAGGCTCCTGGAGAAGTGTGGAGGCAGACAACCCGTCTCCTGGGCTGGGATTGTCTCCTTTGGCTTCAGACATGACTGCTTTAGCAGAAAATACAGACAACCTGGATTATCAAGTGAAATCATTTGGGTTTTGTTAATTGCCCCCATGTCTTCTTGTCCTCTGCTTAGAAGCATCGAGGAGGGCTTTCCTTGATGCGTTCAAGTGGCAGGAAGGAGACCGCTGTCTGTGACAAAGAGGATATTGCTCGCAGGAAAACTCTTTGACAAAAATGTCCCTCGCTTCAGAAGGGATTGGTCCTCTGACAGATGTCAGATTTGCTATCTGCAGTGGCTCTGGAATCCTACAGAACTGTAAAGTTCTGTATATATGAAATGCATTACACAAAAGTGTATGGATCTGGTTGCATATGCATGTTAAGAAATGTGACTTGAATTGAGGATTATAAATGCTAAACAGAGGGACACTTTACAAATAATAATGAGTTTTTAAAATAGTTTTCTGTTCTCAGCAAATAGATGCACGAGTCCAAAGTAAAAACCTACAGCAACCAAATAGCATAAAATAGTGTGCAAGTTTTCACATTCTCTTGAACACTTCATCAGCCCCGATGTTTTTTTAAAAAGGGAGGGAGGAGGGAAGGCATTTCAGGCCATGTTCTTAAGGCCTCTTGTAAGCTTCCAGTGTGGAATGTTAAGCAGATATGCAAAGATAAAAATGCTGTTGTCAGGTTGCACTTTTGGCCATCTGGAAAGCAGCAGCGACCTTCCCCACCACTACCCATAAATCTGAAACTAAAATTCCGAAAAGCAATAAAAATTCATCAGTCACTATCCAGAACACATGGGTGTCTAACAGTGGAAGAAAAGCATGGAAAAATTTACCTTGATAGCCTGTATCTTGTAATTTGGGTTCTACTACTGGATTTCTCTACAGGGAAATTAGTACAGTGCATTGTGTTCTGTCCTTTGCTTCAGAAGCACATCTGCCTCCATTATGCAAGGGCACATCTTGAGCTCGCAAGGAATCTGCAGTGTGCAGATCTTTCTTTATAAAACGAGTTCAAAGAAGTACAGCTTCAATCCACAAAACCGTTAGCCTGAAGCAATTATAGGGTGCAGTGTAATTAGTGTCAGGCTGTAGGTCCAAATCCCCACTTGGCTATGAAACTTACAATGATGTTCAGCGAATCATTCTCTCACAGCCTAACTTACCTCACAGGACTGTTGTGAGAATATGAGGAGGAGGAGGAGGAGGGGAGAACCATATATACTACTTTGTGCTCCTTGAAGGAACAGTGGGATTTTAAAAATGGATAGTTTTCATGGGATCTATCAACAGTGGTTTTGTTGAAAAAAATGTACTTTGTGGAGAACAGAAATGCCAGTTATCTGTTCAGCTAGATAGGCAGTGTTATGTTCTGAGTTATTTCTAAGCTGTTTGGTTATGATTGTGCTAAGGTATCCTAGTTTCCTCTGTTGTGATTGGCTGCGTAATAAAGACCTTCTAGTGGTCCTAAAGCCATACAGAGTATCCTATCAGAAAGCTCCGCTTAGGTCCAATCAGACCTCATGAAAGTAGTTACATTGTTTATAGTTAGGTTTGGAACAGTATAAGTTTGGATGCCGCTCTTTGCAGAGTCGGATTAGAGCTGAGTAATGTTCTAAATAAAAGCCTTGTATTGATAATCGATGTCCTTGACAACCACGAAGGTATAATCACTAACCTCGACAGGGGTCATTTCCTGCAGGAGCGCACAGGAGCGGAGCTCCGGCAGTAAGGAGCCCAGGGGGTGGGCACATGCAATGAGTCCCGCCCCCTGCTCCCAGAAGCCCTCAGTTGGGCCACGAGGAGCAAGAAGCAGCCAGGTAAGTTGCAGAGCCCCCCCCCCCGGCCTGCCTTCAGGTACAAGCTCTCCCTCTGTGAGGGGAGATCTGCACATTCCTCCACCCATAGCTAGCAATACAAAAGAGTCCAGTGGCACCCTTAAGACCAAGTTTTATTCAGGTACAAGCTCTCTCTCCTCTGTGAGGGCAGATCTGCACGTCCCCCCCCCCCATAGTGAGCAATCCAAAACAGTCCAGTGGCACATTTAAGACCAAGTTTTATTCAGGTACAAGCTCTCCCTCCTCTGTGAGGGCAGATCTGCATGTCCCCCCCCCATAGCTAGCAATCCAAAACAGTCCAGTGGCACCTTTAAGACCAAGTCTTATTCAGGCACAAGCTCTCCCTCCTCTGCGAGGACAGATGTGCACGTTC